TAATAATAATAATAATAATGATATTAATAATAATAATAATGATGATAATAATAATAATAATTATTATTATTATTCTTCTTCCGCAGATCTGCAGATCTGCAGAGTGGATGCGCGCGTACTGAAGAGCGGTGTTGTCGCGCGCGCACTGATCAGCTGTGTTGTCGCGCGCGTACTGATCAGCTGTGTTGTCGCGCGCGTACTGATCAGCTGTGTTGTCGCGCGCGTACTCAAGAGCGGTGTTGTCGCGCGCCTACTGAAGGGCGGGACCGACGGTGTGCCGCTTCTCGGGGGCACTTTTGATCATTTTGGAAGGGCACTTTCTATCCAAGACTAAAAAGGGCATGTGCACTGCACAGGTTAAGCCCTATGTGTGCACGTGCCTGAGCAGGTGTAATATGCAGAATTCTGATATAGATTTTTTTTTACAACATAATATTAAGGTTATATTCATGTTTTATTTAGTTTTTTCTTTTGTTTGAGGTTTATCGAAAAATATGGCAATGTCAAACAACACTATTGTATTTACATATTTTAATTAGAAAAAAACAACAAACAAACAAAACATTTTATAATTAAGGCGCAGCTTGTGTTAAACAGGTTATTCCAGATAATAACAGTAGGGATAAATAATTGACAAGACAAAACATCCATATTAAAGACATTCACTCGATCATTATTTAACAATGCTATTTAAATAATCGAAGGGCATGGAAATTATCTTTTTATTATTTGTTTTGCTTTAATTTAATTTAATTTAATTTTTTATTTATTTTATATTAATTAAATAAATTTTTATTTCATTTTTATTTTATTTCAATTTAGTTTTGTTTTCAGTTTCAGTTTTATTTCATTTTGTATTATATTATTGTTATTATTATTTTATATTATTTTAATTTACTTTAATTTTGTATAACATAATTTTAATCTAGTTTAATTTTGTATTATATTATTTTATAATTTATTTTATTTTATTTTAATTTAATCTTATTTTATTTTAATTTAATTTAATATAATTTTTTATTTAAATAAATTTTATTTTATCTTGTTTTTTTTTTAATATAATTTTGTATATTATTTTATATTTTATTTTAATTTAATTTTATTTATCTTATTTTAATTTTTCTTTTTATTTTGTACTTGGTATTTTATTTTAATATTTAAATCTGTTTTATTTTATTTATTTAATGACCATAACAATGCAATAATTGTATTGGTCTAGAACAGCACACTTTAGTTTCTTATCCCCTCCCCAATGGTCATCCAATTATGAGCACCTGTATGTGTGTGTGTGTGTGTGTGTGTGTGCGTGCATGCGTGTGTGTGTTTGATGCTTTAGGCACATGATGATGTCTCCTGTCCGTCTCTTTAATCTGCAGTCTTTTATTCTGTGTGTTCAGGTATGAGCTGAGGATCCGTTACCTGCCGAAGGGCTTCCTGACTCAATTCACTGAAGACAAACCCACACTCAACTACTTCTATCAGCAGGTGAGTGTCTCTGAGTGTGTATGTTTATGTGTGTCTGTGCGCGTGCCATTCAGAAGCCTCATCAGCTCACAGCAGCGCAGCATTGAGTGTGTGATTTCCCAGAATCCTCCTCCTGGACTCATGCTTTAGCTTTATAGAGGCTGTTGAGGATGTGGACAAAAGAAGGAGGTGACGGCAGTGTGTGTGTGTGTGTGTGTGTGTGTCTACACAGATTAACTGCTTTTATTCTGCAGTGTGTGACGACTGATTTACTGTGTGTGTTTGGAGATGAACACCTGCTGCTGTGTCACTGTATAAAACAGCAAACAGCTGGTGCTCACACACTCATTCACACACACTCATTCACACGCACAGATACACACACACACTGTTGTAACAATAACAATGACATCACATATAATTACATCACATGATGCACGTGACCTTTTTTGTATTAAATAATAAGTTTAAATAATAATTATATTGTGTGTGCGTGTGTGTGTGTGTGCGCATGTGTGTGTGTGTGTGTGTGCGGCAGGTGAAGAATGACTACATGCTGGAGGTTGCGGATCAGGTGGAGCAGGAGGTGGCGCTGAAGCTGGGCTGTCTGGAGATCAGGTGTGTGAACTCTGGCTCATGTCAGACATATACACACAGACACACACACACTCATACACACACACACACACTGACCTGTGCTGTTTCTGCTGCAGGAGATTCTACAGAGAGATGAGGGGAAACGCTCTTGATAAAAAGTCCAACTACGAGCTCTTAGAGTGAGTACTGATGACTGACACACACACACATACACACACACACACACACACACACACACACACACACACACACACACGCACACACACACACACACACACACACGTTTATTTTTGTGAATTGTGGGGATATTCCCAGTTCCTAGGCTGGTTTAATTCATAAAAATGTAAATATATATATTTCTGAACCATTTTTTTATTAAATTGTGTTTAATTTTAATACATTTTATTTTAATTTTGCTTTATTTTGTTTCATTTTAATTTACATTTAAATACATTTTATTTAATTTCACTGCTTCAACAATTCGTTTCATTAAATGTACTTATTTATTCATTTATAAAATGAATATATTTATTTAAATTAATGATTTTTTTTTACTTGCACAAATATTAGTTTAATTGAATTAAATAAATGTTATTTTTTAAATTAAATTTAAATGTATTTTATTTTATTTCCCTAGCCTCGAAGATTGGTTTTAAAAATATCTGTGTAATTCTTAGCTATTTTTATTTCACTTTTTGTAAGTTATTTATAGTTGAAATAGTAGAACATTTGAATAATTAAACTTTTGTATATAATTTTAACAGTTTTTTATATAGTTTCAGTTTTATTGAACTATACTAACTGTGCTTAATTACACTCATGAACAACTGATTAGATTATAAACTGCATTATAACATCATCGTCCTTGCTGTAATTTTACTTATCATATTCGTGATGACTTATATTATTTCTGTAGTATTTGTGTAGCTGTGTGTGTGTGTGTGTGTGTGTGTGTGTGTGTGTGTGTGTGTGTGTGTGTGTGTGTGTGTGTGTGTGTGTGTGTGTGTGTGTGTTTGTTCACTTCTCTGAACTGGATTTTTAGTGCAGTGGTTTAAGCGATCGTCGATTCTGGATGTCCATAAACACTGGTGAATAGTTTGGCGGAGAGCCACCGGTTAAAGCTGAAGCCAAGCGCTTTTCATTTCCATCCAATGATGAAACAATCATCAGGGACTGTGGAGTTTTATTGGCCTTTAAATCCACAGTCAGAGAAAACACACCGACACACACTCTGTAATACTGCAATATTAGCATGCACCTGAAAAGATCTGACCGGTGTGCAGTTTATTTGTCATAGCAAGTGCTCAAAAATGACAATTCAACAATTTAGCATGTTTATAAACGTTTGGTAAAGACATAAAAGTCCTTCAGATCAAGCAAATCTTGCTGATTAAAAAGAATTTCACTGCATCTGCCTCTGCTTTGTCTCCTGTTTCTGCGTTACAGGAAGGATGTTGGTCTTCGCCGCTTCTTCCCCAAGAGCTTGTTGGAGTCGGTGAAGGTGAGTCTGTGTTTTCTGGACAAACACATTGTCTGTTGGGTGTTTAATCAATTGTGTGCTGGTAGACCTGATGTGATTGGCTCAAATTAAGTCATTTGCATGAAATCATATTGATGAATGATACTGCCCTCATGTATATATCTGTGAGAGAGAGACGCCCCATTCACACTAAGGTTCAGCGCTTGACTGAGGGTGTGTCTGAAGTTGGGGCTAACGCGATCGTCATAGCAGCGTCAGCCAATGAAATTCAATCAGCAATAAGCCACTGTCTAGCTGGTGTATTTGCATACAGCGATCTGATTGGCTGACACTTCTGTGGGCGCTTGAAAAGTTGAGCTAGTCCCAACTGCTGCAGCGAGCAACACCTCTGAAGCGGCGCCGACGGATCCACAATGCAGTTTGGCAACACCTGACGTCACCCATTCAAAGTGACGCTGACGCCCTGTGTGAATGGGGTGAGAGAGAAAGAGTTGAAGTCAGAATTATTAGCCCCCCTGTATATTTTCTCTCCAATTTCTGTTTAACAGAGAGCAGATTTTTCAACACATTTCTAATCATAATAGTTGTAATAGTTCATCTCTAATAACTGATTTATTTTTGCCATGATGACAGCACATAATATTAGACTAGATATTCTTCAAGATACTAGTATACAGCTTAAAGTGACATGTAAAAGCTTAACTAGGGTAATCAGGGTAAAGTTAGGGTAATTAGGCAAGTCATTGTATAGCAGTGGTTTATTCTGGAGACAATCCAAAACAATTATTGCTGAAGGGGGCTAACAATATTGACCTTAAAATGGCTTTAAAACAATTAATAACTGCTTTTCTTCTAGCCGAAATAAAACAAATAAAACTTTCTCCAGAAGAAAAAATATTATCAGACACACTGTGAAAATTTCCTGAATCTGTTCAACATCAAAAAATTAAATATATTAAAGTAATTTATTTAAAAACTCTAAAAACTTTTTTAACGGTCTCAATTACGTCTGCACTGTTATTTTAATAGCATTAATTATTAATGATGTGTCTCAATAAAATAGAAAAGAGGCAAATTTTCTCAAGTAAAGCCGCCTTCTTCCAGCTTTTTTGACCTTTCCCATAATGCCTCTGCAGATGTAAACTCAGATACGGCTTTGACTTCCTGTCAGGAAGGGTGGATCGTCCATCTGAAGTGACCGCTCGTGTTTTCTGATATGATCTGTGTGCGTGTGTGTGTGTGTGTGTGCGTGCGTGCGTGTGTGTGTGCGTGTGTGTGTGCGTGTGTGTGTGTGTGTGTGTGTGTGTATAATGTTATTAGGGTTCCAATCATACCTTTCAGAGTTTAGACGATCACTAACAGCTTTGCTATCGTATTTAATGTATTGTTATTGTATGTAATAACAGTGCTAATATTGAAAATATATTAACAGCACTAACATCATAAATATAATAACAGCTGAAATAGATCATTATAGATGACTTTGGTGTTTATTATTGTGTCTTATTGATTATACATATTACTACCAAAAACATTTGTATTAATAAAAGGAAATACCAGTTTGAAGTGTTTTCAAGCTGATTTTGCACATTTATCTTGACATTAGCCTGTGCTTCAGCACGATGTTATTAGTTTGATTGTTTTGGATCAGTGTGTTTGAAGTGTAACGCTGCTCTTTCTGTCTGGGTTTCAGGCTAAAACACTGAGGAAACAGATCCAGCAAACTTTTAAGCAGTTCGCCAACCTGAACGATGAGCAGAGCGTCCTCAAGTTTTTCGAGATCCTGGCGCCCGTTTACAGATTCGACAAAGAGTGTTTCCGCTGCGCTCTCGGGGTACGACACGTCACTGCTCATCATCACTGAATATACTGCTGAAAATGGCTGAAAATACTGAAAAATTACTAGAAATACTGCTGAAAATACTGGTGAATATACTGCTGAAAATGACTTAAAATACTGCTGAAAATACTGGTGAATATACTGCTGAAAATGACTGAAAATACTGAAAAAATTACTAGAAATACTGCTGAAAATACTGGTGAATATACTGCTGAAAATGACTTAAAATACTGCTGAAAATACTGGTGAATATACTGCTGAAAATGACTGAAAATACTGAGAAAAATGATTAGAAATACTGCTGAAAATACTGATCAATATACTGCTAAAATATTGCTGAAGAACTGAGGAAAATGACTAAATATTGCTGAAATTGACTAGAAATACTGCTTGAAATACCAATATTTTTAGCTATTTTCAGCAGCATGTTCATCTGTATAATACTGCTGAAAATGACTGAAAATACTGAGAAAAATTATTAGAAATACTGCTGAAAATACCAATGAACATACTGCTGAAAATGACTAAAATACAGATGAAAATACTGGTTAAATACTAATGAAAATGCTGATGAACATACTGCTGAAAATGGCTAAAAATATTGCTGAAATATTGATGAAAATATAGATCAACAAACTGCTAAAAATGACTGAAATTATTACCGAAAATGACAAAATTATTACTGAAAATGCCTGAAATCCTGGTCTGTTCTGCCCTCTAGTGCTCCTTGGTGAAATTACACACCCTGACACTGATATGAATGGAGTTTTACACAGCTATGAATGGTTCTTGTTAGTTATTAAGCTGTATTTGGCATTACACTATATACTATATAAAACATTTGGTGTAAGGAAATGAATGCTTTTATTTAGCAGGGGTGCGTTAAATTGATCCAAAGTGAAAGAAAAGACATTTCTGTTTAAAATAGTGAATAAATAACTTTCTATTTATTAAAAAAAAAATAAAAAAATGTATTACATTTTCCACCAAAATGTGAAGCAACTGAAATAATTAAATGTCAATAAATCTTCATTTGTATTCATCATTATTATTATTTTTTTTACAAAAAATGTCAAATAATATTACAATTTTACATACATTAGTAATATTACTGTATTTTTGATCAAATGACAGCTTTGTTCATTTTAAAATTAAAATAACTCTATATTTATATCATTAAATGTTCAATTATTTACATTTTAATTGAATTATTTGTTTAAAATATTGGTAATCATGTTTAACTTTCTCTCTTTGTTTCTGTTTCAGTCGAGTTGGGTCATCTCAGTGGATCTTGCGATTGGTCCAGAAGAGGGCATCAGTTACCTGACAGACAAGGGCTCCACGGTAATATTAATAATAATTATTCTTTCTATTCATATAGCGCTTTTCTGGACACTCAAAGCACTTTACACATTCGGGGTAGATCTCCTCAGAAACCACCACCAGTGTGCAGCATCCCCCTGGATGCCAGGGTTAAACCCCTACCCTTTTTCCAAGGACATCCTAGGATTTTTAACATCCACAAAGAGTCAGGACCTCGAATTAACAGCGCTCACTGAGCAGTATAAAGTCCTCTTCACTATACTGGGACGTTAGGTCCTACACAGACCGCAGCTTGAGCGCCTCCTGCTGGTCTCACTAACACTACTTTAAGCAGCAACCTAGCTTTAACATGTGGTCTCCTATCCAGATACTGACCATGCTTGGCTTCAGTGGGCGACCAAGTGAGAGCTGCAGAGAGCTAGCTGCCAGTAACCTTATTACCTCCATCTCCATAACAATAACCAACGAGTTCCATCTATTTATCTTAATCTGAGTTATTTCTGTTTGTTTATTAGTTCTATTTATGAGTAGCTCCGCCCACAGTCAAATCCTATTGGTCCTGCTATTAAAAACGAAAGTTGTGAGTGGCTCTAACTCTTATAAATCAGTCATCAATGAGGTCTGAGCTGAGTTTGCTCCTCTAATAATGATTCAGTTCAGCTCAATAGGAACATCATTGTTTAAAGACGTGATTGACTGCAGGGCTGATGCTTTCACAGGAAATGTTGAGGCTCAGCAGTCTGATGTTTGTGAGAGGGAATTTCTTCATGTTTTCTGTGCCGTCTGAGCGCATGTTTCTCTGCTTTTAGCCCACACACCTGGCCAACTTGACTCAGGTGCAGAGCATCCATTACTCCTGCGTGGAGGAGAAGGAGAGGAAGGGTGTGTTACAGCTGGACGTGGCTGGAGCCGCAGAGGTAAAACACACACAGATGTGAAGCGCTGATGTTTTGATGTCTGCTGGAAGTGTTTAGATTGTGATCTGTGACTCAGGAGGCTGTATATCCAGCTCTGCAGGCTGTCATTTCAGTCTGTCACTGTTATTTTGGGTCTTGGCATCCTCATCTGTACTTTGTCAGTGTTTTTCTCTCTTTCTGACTGTCTGTCTGTCCTCCGGGAGGCATCTTTACACAGGTTTAGAGAATCTGGTGGATTTCTTAGGCTGATTTAGTCAGTGTCGTGTTATTGTTTAATAAAACTAAGATATTAAAAACGAGTTGGAGTATAACAGAAAAAATATATGTAAGACATATTACTAGATTACTAGTTACTAATATATTAGATATACTATATTACATATACTATACAGACTAAATGTACCATATTTTTACTAAATGCACTATATAGATATGGTATATATGCTAAACTGAAAAAATAAAGCTGATTATGAAGATTGTCATTTGTAAATAGAAATAAAATTAGTAAAAGTGGCTGATTTTAAGAATAATCAAATGTAAATAAATATTAAAATCGCTAGTTAATAAATTGGAAAAATATATATAAATTAGAAATGTTGCCTAGGCAACCAAATAAATTTTCTGAGATAATTTGTGGGCGTGTCTAAGATCACTTCTGGGCGTGTCTGATATTTTGTATGTGTGCCAGATAATTTGTGGGCGTATCTGACATAATTGTGGGTGTGTTTGTGAATTTGTTGTGGGTGTGTTTGTGAATTTGTGGGTGTACATTAGATAATCTGTGGGCGTATCTGTGGGCGTCGGCAGTTTGTGGGCGTGTCTGAGATAACTTGTGAATGTCTTAGTTTGTTTTTTATTTTTAATATAATTGTCTTTATCTTTATCTTTAATATAATTATCTTTTGTGGGCATGTCTGGGTTAATTTGTGGGCGTGTCTGAGATGATTTGTGGGCGTATATAAAATAATTGTGGGTGTAAAGGAGAATTTTTGGAGGCGTACCTAAAGAAAATGTGGGCATATTTGAGAATTTTTGGGTCTATATTAAATAATCTGTCGACGAATCTAAATTTAATTTGTGGGCGTATATGAAATCATTTGTCATGTTTGAGTTAATTCACGGATGTCTTAATTCTTGGTCTGTCTTATATCGCTTGTGGGCGTGTCTGAGATAATTTGTGGGTGTGTCTGAGATCATTTGTGGGTGTGTCTGAGATCATTTGTGGTTGTTTATGAGATCATTTGTGGGTGTGTCTGAGATCATTTGTGGGTGTGTCTGAGATCATTTGTGGGTGTGTGAGAATTTGTGGTCATGTCTGAGGTAATTTGTGGGCGTGTCTAATATAATTTGTGGGTGTGTCTGAGATAATTTGTGGGTGTGTCTGAGATAATTTGTGGACGTCTCTGAGATAATTTGTGGGCGTGTATAAAATAATATGTGGGCGTGTCTGAGTTAATTTGTGGGCGTGTATGAGATAATTTAATGGTGTGTCTGAGATAAGGGGTGGTTATGTCTGAGATAATTTGTGGGCGTGTCTGAGATTATTTGTGGTCGTGTCTAAAGTAATTTGTGGGTGTGTTTGAGATAAATTGTGGGCTTGTATGAGATAATTTGTGGGCGTGTATGTAATAATTTGTGGGTGTGTATGAGATAATTTGTGGCCGTGTATGAGATAATTTGTAGGTGTGTCTGAGATAATTTGTGGGCGTGTCTGAGATAATTTGTGGGCCTGTATGAGATCATTTGTAGGTGTGTCTGAGATCATTTTTGGGCATGTCTGAAATAATTTGTGGGCGTGTATGAGATCATTTGTGGATGTCTTATATTGTTTGTGGGTGTGTCTTATATAATTTGTGGGCGTGTCTTATATAGTTTGTGGGTGTGCCTAATGTCATTTGTGGGTGTGTCAGATAATTTGTGGGCGTGTCTGATATTTATGAGGATGTCTGAAATCATTTAAGACCCTTTTTCAGCCTTGTGGGTGTGTCTCCAGTGTGTGTGTGTGTGGTCAGTGCAGCTGGTCTGTGTTGTATCTTGACCTCATCATGAGGCTGCTGTGTGTGATAAAGGCTCATTGTGAGTGTGTTTGCTTCTCGCAGCCTCTCACGATCAGCACGCCGTCTTTCTCCACCGCCGAGAACATGGCCGACCTCATCGACGGATACTGTCGCCTGCTCAATGCCGTCAACCAGTCCTTCATCATCAGACCTCAGAAAGGTACACACTGATGCATTGTGGGATGTCTGGAGCCTGTACGCTATGAATGGGATGCATTGAGTAGGGAATCTCAATACAAATAGAAAGTGTAGAACTTTCTATAAATAGAAACTGTAGTGAGATATGAAGCGCAGTTGTTGGTGTTTGGGTGTGTCGTGTTTCTCTGTTTGATTTATACACTGATGTTGTATGTGTTTCTGGTCTACAGATGGTGAAAGAGCTCTTCCATCCATTCCAAAGTAAGTCATAAATCCAGAGCGCTGAGCTGTTTAATAAACTGACGTCAGGCTGGAGATTCATACGGTCTCACAGTGAAGCTTCAGTGCATCCAAAACAACCCTAAACTACAGGCAGTACAGCTGGAGGGTATTGCCGATAGTCACTCAATATTTGGTTAATACTTCAATTTTTATTGCAGAGAAGTTTCCAAAAGAGCATCATTAGACTTATTTAAAAATCTAAAGTCTGGAGACAAAAATGTGTATATTATTTTTATTATAAAATGCTGAATTATATTTTGCATTGCATATATGTAATATTTTATCATCTTTACAAATATGTGTACATATAGACTTTTAAAAAATATTGTAATATTATAAAGTTAGTTTTCATTGATATTATTATTGATAATTATATTATTTTATTTTTACTATTATTATTATTATAAATGCAGAGTTTTTTGCATTGCATATATGTATTTTTTTATAATATTTTAAAATATGTAAACATAAAAATTTTGTGATATTATAAAAAAGTATTGTTTTTATGACTATTATGGTTATTTTATTATGAATGATGATAATCATATCATTATTCTAAAATGCAGATTTAGAATTTATTTAATTTGCATTGCATATGTAATATATCTTATTTATTATATAACATTTCAAATATATTGTAGAAATATTATTTAGTGTTTTATTATCATTATTATTATTAATATTGTTAAAGCTGATTTATATTGTCTTTATATAAAATTTTATAATATTCTATTTATAATATAAAAACATTTAAAATATTGTAATATTATAAAAAAGCGTATTATTATCATGATTAATTATTATGAATCATAATAATAATATTGTGAAATGCAAATTTCTATTTTGTATTGCATATATATTTTAAAAATATAACATTTAAAAAATATTGTAATATAAAAATCTTTAGTGTTTTATTATTATTATTATTTATTATTATTATTATTATTATAATATGCTGATATATATATTTTTTATTGCATTTATATAATATTTTATCATATTTAAAAAAATAAACATTCTTAAATTATAGTAATATATTCTTTGTCACCCAGTTCTACTTGTGGGCCTATAATATACATATGCTAAATGTTTTTAATTATACATTACATAATTCAGTATAAATTTGATTATTAATTTTGTTTTCACCTTCTGCCAAATGCACATTTTAAGATTTTAATCTTCACCTGAGCCCAGAAAGTTGATAAATCATACACACATTTGTGTTTAGACACAATACTAATAATCCTTATTTTGTTTCTGCCATAGACTTGCTAACAATGAGAAGCGGCTTGAGGGGATTCGGGCAGGAGTTCGGGCCATTTCTGTTTCAGGTAAGACACCTCTTTAATTTATATAATTATTATTTTTATTTTATGTTAAACTGATGTCTCCATCTGTCCTCTGAAGACTCTCTGGTTCAGACGCCCACCAAAGCTGCTAAAGCTCGCCGTTTTCTCCTTCCGTTTGTCCTCTGTTCCCATGATTCTCCTCATAAGGGTACATGCTGCTCTGTGTGTGCGTGTGTGAACACTAACCTCATCTGATCTCCCTCATTGACACATGTTCTGCATTATCACGTCCGTCTGTTTCTCATTGGTTCATACTGCAGGTGTTTAATATATACTTGGATTTTTTTAGCTGGAGGCGAATGCTGTTTTGATTCTAGTGTGCAATAATTTTTTTTTTTAATTGTGCCCCTTATAAGGATGCAGTTTTTTTAATGTCACTTGACCAATCAAGTTATGTTTTTCTTCACATTGGCCACGCCTCCTCTGTGACTCCGCCCTATGGTGTGTTTGCTTTGCAGGTTGGGCAGGAAACTGAACATAATGTTTAAAAACGTCCATTTCCCGCTAACATTTGAGCACTGTTGAGCGAATTTTTCAACAGCGTTGATTTTCCATTGTGTTCACATGCTCAACAGAATTTGTGATTGGCCGTGGAGGTCATCAGTTCATCGAACTCACCGCTGTTTACTGAGTCTAACCACAGATACAGGCACACTGGAGGGGTTTAAAGCAGCGAAGATCAGCTGGTCTGTTAATAAGCTGGCATACGAGCGATCCGCTGATGAATCGACTGATCTTCACTGCTTTAAAAAGCACCAGTGTCCCTGTATCTGTGGGTACACTCAGTAAACATCGGTGAGTTCGGTGAACTGATGAGCTTCAAGGCCAATCACAGTCATTTCTGTTGAGCACGTGAACACAATGGGAAATTAGTGCTGTTTAAGAACACGCTCAACAGCGCTCAAATGATAGCAGGAAATGGACATTGTTAAAATCTTAGTACTGATTGGTTCGAATTCCAGTATCGGGACAACACTAATTTAATGGTTATTGTTTTTTTTTTTGCCACAATTGACATTGTTTAAGGGATTAATGTCAAGATGCAAAAAAATAAAGAATTATATTTTGCCTGAACAATGTATATTTGAGAAATTTAACAGAAAATGTATGTATTTGGCTTTTTCTAAAACACTTCGTGTTAAATAAACACATTGTTTATTCATTTACATCACTGCTGTGTAAACAAAACAATGAATAATAAGTAATATATTTTATATTTTAGTGAATTATGTAAATTATATATTGCATTTGGAAATGGTATACAATATTTTTGCATTTAAATATATAAGATAATCAATAATAATTTATTAACATATAATTTATAATATGCATATAATTTATTTGTAGATTTTTATGTTATAGTGATGAGATGTAGACAATTTTACATTTATTTTGTTTAAGAAATGTAAAAGTGTCTTATTCCTTTACTGATTTATATATAGAATGCTCAACGTTCAAAATATATTAGAGAAAATCATCCCATTTATTTTATTTTATTTATTTTTATATTGTTTATCTTTATATTATTTATTTTAAATTTATTTTATTTTAATGTATTTTCTTTATTTAGTTTTTTTTTATATTATTTATTTTTAGTTTATTTTATTATAATTTTTTAAATGTAATTTTTATATATTTTAATATTATTTATTTTTTATTTATTTAATTGAATTGTATTTAATTTATTTTTAATATATTTGTATTTATTTTTTATCGTTTATTTTTATATTATTTATTCATTATTTATTTATTTTATTGTATTTTATTTATTTATTTATTTATTTATTCAAATTTCATTTTTTTGTATTTCATTTATTTGAATGGAACTTTTTTTTATTAATATAATAAAATTTTATTTTATTTTTATTGTATTTTATATTATTTACTTTTAATTTATTTAGTTTTATTGTATTTTATTTAATTACATTTTATGGTATTTATTTTGTTTATTTTTATTCTATTATTGTATTTAATTTACTTTTTCATTTTTTTTGTTTTATTTAATTTATTTATTTAAATTTTAATTTGTTTTATTTTGCTTTATTTTATTTATTTTTAATTTTATTATTTATTTATTTTATTTTATTTATTTATTTATTTTTTGTATTTTTTTATTTTATTTTATTTTGCTACATGAATTTGCCTTCAATCAATATCAGGGACTTTTCCACATGCTGATCTACATCCAAAGCAGAACAATCCCAGTCAGATGTGTGTCCACGTCCCAATTGAATCCCATCCCACACATTCCTGCAGCACATCTAACCCAATATAACCCACACTAATGACTCCCAGAACATCATGAACCAAACACATTTACTGCAGGAGCCGCTCACACAACCACTGAGCATTACAAACCAGTTCAAATCCAGTGTTGATGTGTGTAGATGAATTAACCCTTCTCCTCTCTGCTCCTCTCCTATCTTTGCATGGACCTGCAGAAGATCTTAGTGGAGATGGTAAAGTTTGACTTGCAATTTGTTTCCCCCTAACTAACTCCCTGCTATCTGTGCGTTCAGAAAAGTACTGGAATTATAGATGTTTAGTGTAGCTGTAGTGAGTTTTGATTGCTTCTCAGTGCACTTGAAGTCTCTTTTGCTCCCTGCATTCCTCACAGGACACAATTTTAAAGGTGTAATTATTTCGAGAAGTGAGTAACCTCTTCAAAAACCAAAAAAGCTGGGCTGAATCTGTTTTGCATGAACACTAAGAGTCACTTCCTTCCCCTCGTCTTTCTCAAGCACAGCCACAGAGCTGCTGGGAGAGGCAGCTGCTATCTGATTGGTTGGTAGAAGAGACAGCTGCTCTCAGATTGGTTGCTGGGAGAGACAGCTGCTCTCTGATTGGCTGCTGGCAGAAAGAGTTACACTCTGATTGGTTACTAGGAGAGACAGCAGCACTCTGATTGGCTGCTGGGAAAGAGAATAACACTCTGATTGGTTACTAAGAGAGACAGCTGTACTCTGATTGGCTGCTGGGAGAGATAATTACACTCTGATTGGTTACTAAGAGAGACAGTGGTACTCTGATTGGCTGCTGGGAGAGAGAGTTACTCTCTTATTGGTTACTAGGAGAGACAGCTGCATTCCCATTGGCTGCTGAGAGAGTGAGAGTTACTCCGATTAGTTACTAGGAGATACAGCTGCTGTCTAATTGGTTGCTTGAAAAGACTGCTGCTCTGATTAGTTGCTTGGAGAGATAGTCACTCTCTGGTTGGCTTCTTTGAGAGACATCCACTCTCTGATTGGCTAATGGGAGAGACTATACCTCTGATTGGCTGTTGGGAGACACAGTCTGTCTCTGATTAGCTGCTGGCAGGAATAGCTTCTCTCTGATTGGCGGCTGGGAGTCACAGCTGCTCTTTGATTGGCTGCTTTAGGAGACAGTCACTCATTGGCTACTTTAAGAGACAGTCACTCTCTGATTAGTTGCTAGGAGAGACTGTATCTCTCTGATTGGCTGTTGGGAGAAAAAGCTGCTCTCTGATTATCTGCTTTAAGGGACAGTCACTTTCTGATTGGTTGCTAGGAGAGGCAGTCACTCTAATTGGCTGCTAGGAGAGACAGTCACTCGTTGATTGGTTGCAAGGAGAGGCAGTCACTCTGATTGGCTGCTTTAAGAGAGTGCTGCTCTCTGATTAGTTGCTGCATGAGACAGCAGCTCTCCGATTGGCTGCTTTGAGAGATATCCGCTCTGATTGGCTGCTAGGAGAGATAGCTGCTCTCTGATTAGAAGAGACGGCTGTTCTCTGATTATCTGCTTGCAGAAACAACTGCTCTCTGATTGGCTGTTTTAGAGCTATCGACTCTCTGATTGGCTGCTGGGAGAGACAACTGCTCTCTGATTAGTTGCTGGCAGAGACAGCAGCTCTCTGATTGCTTGCTAGGAATGATAGCTGCTTTCTGATTGGCTGCTAGAAGAGACAGCTGCTCTCTGATTATTTGCCGGCAGAGACTGTTGCTATCTGATTGGTTGCTAGGAAAGACAGCTGCTCTCCGATTGGCTGCCTGTACAGACAGTCATACAGATTAAGTTCAGGGAGTTTAAAAGAGAGAAGTGCACTTGAGTTTCAGTGTGCATGTGTCCTCACGCAGTAGTCTTTCGGCTCTAGTTTGTGTAGTGGAAGGTTACGTGTGTTTCTGGTTGTGTAGTGACTGAGTGGGCGTTATTTTGGCCGCTCTGTCTGTCTGTCTGTGTGTGTGTGTGTGTGTGTATGTGTGTGTGTGAGACACTGACCACTTCTTCTGTCTCCCTGCAGAAACAGACGACTACGCAGAGATCATAGATGAGGAAGACACCTACACCATGCCGTCTAGTAAGTACCCTCAATCTGTGAAGTGTGTCTGACTGCTGGATTCCAGATGTTTCTGTCCAAATCCATGCTGTCTCTGAGCCAGATCTTGACTCTTTTTTTCCCTCTGTCTGGCTGGTTTGGTTTGTTGATGTGGCGGTAAATGAAATTTAAAGTATCCAGCGCTAACATTCCAGAAAACTCTCTCTGGAAACTCACTTAGTTTTCAGACTGTCAGGATTGGGGGTTTGTGTGGAATTGAAACTGCTCTTATTTGGGCGTAAACTCTGCAGAGGGAGAAAAGAGCATGCGTGTATGTTTGTGTGTGTTTATATCAGGGTTATAATATTTATTTTAACCATAAAAGATAGTTGCAATAGCAGCATTTTGCACTGTTGTTGTGTTTAATTGAGATGCTAAAATCACGGAAATATTATAAACATCATTAACCTGATGTATTTAAAAAAAATAGATGTTTTTAGATGACAAAAACTGTATAGATATATTTAAAATTTTAAATGGAAAGAGCTAATATAAAGCTAATTATTCAAATATTATATTATTTCAGTAAAACAACAGTTTAATATGAGGACAAATCGAAACTTCAAAATAAAAACGATTTATTTGAGGTTTTATTGTATTATAGTTTATTTTAATGTATTATGCAGGTTTTCTCTCTTAATTAGCACACTAATAAACAATTAACAAGCACACTGGACGTCTGTGATGTGTCCTGATTTTGTTTGTGTGTTTATATATCAGGGTTATTATCTTTATTTTAACCATACAAGATTGTTGCAATAGCAGTATTTTGCATTGTGGTTGTGTTTAATTGAGATTTTAAAATCACTGAATCTTTATAAACGTAGTTAACTAGATATTTTTAAGTTTATATAAAAAAAATTGATGCATTTAGATTGGAGATAATTTTAGAAAACTGTATATTATGTACTATATTAAAAATTGCTACAGCTTTAAAACTAAAAAAGCTAATATAAAGCTAATTATACAAATTTAATATATCAGCGATAATAATAAAAAAACTGTTTAATATGAAGAAAAATCAAAAACTATTTATTTGAGGTTTTTTATGTCATAATTTATTGTAATTTATTATGCAGGATTTATCTCTTAATAAGCTTTGTACAAATACAGTGGATGTCTGTGATGTGTCCTGATTTTGTTTGTGTGTTTATATATCAGGGTTATTATCTTTATTTTAACCATAAAAGATAGTTGCAATAGCAGCATTTTGCATTGTTGTTGTGTTTAATTAAGATTTTAAAATCACTGAATCTTTAAAGACGTATTTAACTATATATTTAAGTCTATATAGAGAAAATTGATGCGTTTAGATTGGAGATAATTTTAGAAAACTGTATACTATGTACTATATTAAAAATTGCTACAGCTTTAAAACAAAAAAGCTAATATAAAGCTAATTATACAAATTTAATATATATAAGCGATAATAATAAAAAAACTGTTTAATATGAAGAAAAATCAAAAACTATTTATTTGAGGTTTTATTATATTATAATTTATTTAAATTTAATATGCAGGATTTATCTCTTAATTAGCTAAGTACAAATACAGTGGATGTCTGTGATGTATCCTGATTTTGTTTGTGTGTTTGTGTGTTTATATATCAGGGTTATTATCTTTATTTAAACCATAAAAGATGGTTGCTATAGCAGCATTTTGCATTGTTGTTGTGTTTAATTAAGATTTTAAAATCACTGAAACTTATTTAACTTGATATATTTATGTTTATATAAAGAAAATATATGTATTTAGATAGAAGATGGTTTAAAAAAATGTATAGAGGTAATAAACATTACTACAACTTTGAAACTGTAATGGTTAATTAAGGGAAAATAGTATTTCAGCGATACTAAAACAATAGTTTAATATAAGGAGAAAATCATACCACTCAATGCAAAAAACATGCATACATAACACACATAACCTGTTTTAGTATTTATAAATTTTAAAAATGCAGGTTTTCTCTCTGAGTTACCGCTGTATAAACACACTGGACATCTGTGATGTGCCCTGATTTAGTGTGTGTGTGTGTGTGTGTGTGTGTGTGTGTGTGTGTGTGTGTGTGTGTGTGTGTGTGTGTGTGTGTGTGTGTGTGTGTGTGTGTGTGTGTGTGTGTGAGTCAGCGACTGCACACTAAAGTTCACGAGTGTGTGACTTTATGAACCATCACAGGTTTCTGAACACACATCAGTTAGGAACACAAATGGAGACGTTTAGAAGAATGTTCATGCTGCTGTTTTGCATTCAGTGAATTTTATGAACAAACTAATCTAGTCCTTTTTTTCCCTGAAAGATTTTAGTTGAATATTCAGTGTTTTAAATCTCACTACTTCATTCAGAACATTCGGGGGGGAAACCTAAAACAGAAGTAAAAAGTTTTGCGAAACGTTCCCTCAAAAAAAAAGAAGCAATGTTAATGGCATTGTTGCAAAATATTTGTATTAAATTTATATTTATGTATTTATGGCTCTTAAAGCGATAAAATAAACTGAAACAACAAAAAATAACTGTGAATCTAGTTTATATGCATACCTTAAAACAAATTAAGCCAAAACACACTTTTTAAGATGATCACATGATGCTAATACATCACAGTCTTGTTTAAGTGTGGAATCGCATTTTCTCTTACAGTGTCCTTTCCTCAACTTTAGTTGTGCCGGAGCTAATACAGTGACATACTGCTCATTATTATGGATGCTGCTGCGTGATTGGCTTGCGGCACTCACAAGGCCAACCGTTATTGGTCGAAGCGGCATAAAGTCAATATGATGTCACTCAGTGTTCCATTCCTGCAGACAGACAGGAGTGATACTGTCTAAGGGATACAGCTGCGGATACTCACATCAGTATAGCATCGTTTTTGTGACCCTGTACAACCATAATTCACATTTTTACATTACTGTGAGGGTTGATAAAATTACAAAGGGATTATTAAAAGACAATTTAGTGGGTAATTTAATAAATAATATAAACTATACCCTGTGTAATTACTGCTTTAAGATTACTGTGAGGGTTGGGTTAAGGCTTGGGTTAGCATTAATAAAACACAATTTAATGGTTAATTTAATAAATAATGCAAATATAGCTCTGTATATTTAATTACTCTGTATAATACATTAGTTAGGGTGGGCCTTAATAAAATACAACTAATGAGCAATTTGATAAATAATTAACTTCTGGCCGCAGCTGTATCCCTTCTAGCAACAAGCAGTCAAGACTGGTGTTCTTCAGTCATCCTTTAATGAGACAGCTACTTCCTTAAAGGGACAGTCCACCTAAAAAAGAATAATGGTTTACTTACAATTTACTCAAACATTTAGTTTTGTTCCTCCTTTACTATCAAATGTATTATCTTCATCAATATTTTAGTTTGAATTTAAATGTATTATCTTTCTATTCCTAAAGATGTTCGGTAACCAAACTCTTATTTTAATGCATATAACTGTAAAATGCACCAAAGATTACTGTCTATATTCACTGAGAAACGAATATAAATATTGATTTTCAAAGGGGGTGTGCTTATTTATGCTCAGCGCTGTATATAAATATTAAAGTGTTATGGAAAGTTTGGTATGGAGAGTGTACAGCATTATGGGTAATGTAGTTTCTCAGCATTGCTTTCAAATATAAGTTGAATGAATTTGAATTTGTTTTGTGTGTTTTAAATATTTTCTATTCATCATTTATTGCTCATTTGATTAAGAATTGTTTCTGTTGATGTCTCTTTATAACTTTTTATAATATGCTGAATTCATACACACCTGTATAACCGCTCTATATGCTGGTTGTGTGACATGTCTGTCCTGCTGCTCTCCACATCTCATCCCTCTGTGTTTCTCCTTCATCCTGAGCTTTAATCCTGATCTAAAAGGCCAATCTCTCTTTCTCTCTCTCTTTCTCTCACTTCTCTTTAACACCAGCCCAATGCTTTGGATTAGACACAGGTAACACATCACTTTCAGTTTCTTCTTATGTTCGCTCTATCTCTTCTTTCCCTTTCTCTTCTCCTCTCTGTCTTTCAGTTTTGTTGTGTTTGTGTTGCTTTTAGAAACATGTTCCTCCTCATATCATCAACTAATGCAGGTTTTTATATATATATATATATTGTACGTTTGAGTGTGTGTGTGTTCAATGGGAATTGAGCCCTATGAAATAAAGCCTCTTTTTATTTATCGCTTCATATTATTTAACTTCTATATTTGACAATTTCTAATATAATTTCTAATCATTCACATTATAATTTATATTTTTATTGCATGGTTATTTGTACATAATTGAGATTTTCTATAAGTAAAAGCCTGCAGTAGTCTTTGATATGTAGCTCAACTATAGATTTTTATTTTCTTAGCTTTTTTGTATGATTATATTATTATGATTATGATTATGATATATATATATATATATGATTTTATTTGTTTTAGAGGTTTAGAATAGCTGATTTTATTTTATATATATATATATATATATATATATATATATATATATATATATATATATATATATATTTATTTTATTTATTTTTTTTTAATTATCATAATTAGAGTTAAATTACTGTAAGGATTTTAATGATCTTCCTCTGTTAATGTTTTATTTTGTGTATCATTATCTGTACATATATTTAAGACCTTTTATTGAACTTTTTATTGATTTATATTGGTTGCTTTAGTCATGGTGGACCCCATGTATTTTATACGATTTAATTTTAATATTAATATGAGTTTAAAGTTTGTTCACATTTTATATTTTTTAAACAATATAATTTTTCTAATATATAAATATATATATATATATATATATATATATATATATATATATATATATATTTTCATTTATCTGATGTCAGTTTCTATAGTATTAAATAAAATAAAATAAAAAATAATTCAATTAAAGCTTAATTTCAATTAACTTGTATTAAATTAACTTGAATAAAAAATTAAATAAAAATGTATAAAATTAAAACAAATTTAAAATGTAATTAAACATTAAATTAAAAATTAAATTAAAATGTAATTAAAAATAAATTCAATTAAAAAATAAATTCAATTAAAATTTAAAATAAAATGAAATAAGCTAAAAATTAATACAAAAAATAATTAAACTTAATTAAAAAACAAATTAAATTAAAATAAAATAAATAAAAACTTTAAAATTAAAGTGAATAAAAAATTATTAAATGAAGAAAATAAATTAAATAAAATATTAAATTGTAAATTAATCATTTTTATAATAATAATAATAATAATAATAACATAAAATATAAAAATAAGTTTAAAATATTTTCTTTAATAATTAGTGAATTTTCAGATTTTTGGGAGGGTTAACTATTTGC